GGTCCGGGCTGGGGATTTGAACCCGCCACCTCAGGTGTACGTGGCTGGTGCCTTAGCCACTTCAGCCACAGGCGCTGAGCCTGCCCAGTTGTTTTTTTTCTACCATAAGAAAAAAAAGTTGAGCCACACCTGTGTGCTAGCTATTCAGGAGGCTGGGGTGAGAGGATTGGTCCCTTGAGCCCAGGAGTTTGAGGTTGCAGTGAGCTTTGCTTGTGTCATACCCCTCTACTCCAGCCTGGGTGACACAGTGAGAGCCTGTCTCTGAAGCAGACAAAATAAAACTTGGCACCACCATGACTCCATGCTGCTGATGGACTTGATCTTCACAGGTCCACTAAATTTGCCTCTTTCATTGTCCCCCTGAGTTTAAGCTCCAGTTTTCTCACCTATTAAATAAGGATAATAATAAACCTATACCATAAAGTTGCTATAAAGAGGATACATGATAATACATATAAGGAATTTAGCATAGTGCTGGCATTTAATAAGCCCTTTAAATAGTAATTGCCATTATGGTGATTACTATGGTCTTCTGAACTTCAGCTTTCCTGATTCTATCTCCTAGACTCCTAAGAAACGGAAATCCAGCAGTGAGACCCAGATCCAGGAGTGTTTTCTCTCCCCTTTCCGGAAACCCTTGAGTCAGCTAACCAGTCGATCACTGTGTCTGGACAGCAGTCAACATGTAAGTCAGAACTGCAACTTATGTGTGCATATGTGTGCTCAGCTGTTTTGCCTGTGTAGATTCCTGCTCCTGTAGACTTCCTTAGTGCTCTATAGAGTGGCCAGCAGATAGACATTTGTGGGGCTTTGGGCCTGCCCACAATGCCATCATCTACTCTGAGATGTGTGCCTGGCTTCTTGCCTTGTTTCTAGCTACGTCAGCACCAGATATCAGATGGCTCAGATTCTTTAGGAAAGGAAGGTAGAAGAGAGGGAAGACCATAGTGGAATGTTGGAACCAGCTCAGTCTCTAACTGTGTATGGCTTTAAGGAGTACCAGAGTCCTGTAGCTTCTGTGCTATTCCTCTAGTAAAGTCAAACTCACTTGTTGCCATGGCAGGTTCTATGCATTATTTCACTTAATTGTCACTTTTTAGATGAAAGAACTGAGTCTCAGAGGGGTTAAGTCAGGTGTCCTCAAACTACGGCCTGCCTAGGACATTTATCTTGTCCGCCGGGTGTTTTTATTTTTGAGACAGAGCCTCAAGCTGTCCCCCTGGGTAGAGTGCCGTGGCATCACAGCTCACAGCAACCTCCAACTCCTGGGCTCAAGTGAGT